GAGTTTACCACAGTCGTCATTGTCACCATCATCACAAAAACCAGTATTTGTTGAGTATTGACTAAGTGGCAGGTACTGTTCTAATCCTATTACATTTATCAAAGCTTTTAATTCTTACCACCGCCTTATGAGGCAGAGACGATTATATCCCCACATTGGAAAAAAGGAAACTGATGCACAGAATGGCAAAGTAAAGTGTCAAGGTCACACAGCTGGGAAGCAGGGGAGCTAGAATTCAAGACAGTGCCCCAGAGCCACACTCATAATGACTGATCTATACTTACCCCTTTTCCCACTCTATATATGTGGAATTTTTCATGTCTGCCTCTTTTTCTTAAAAAGTGGGTGATCTAATAAGTGGTTAGAGCCTGATTTTAATATGTTCCCTGAGCATTGTTATGTCTACCACAGTTCACCCACATTTCAGCATTTTTCCAACAAGCACCTTGAATTCAGCTCATCCAGTATTTGTGTAACTAGCATGCATCAGTCCAGATCTTTGTGGGACCTGCTGATCTTTTTCTGGTCTTTGTGATGGAAGCTCACAAAGTAAGTTCTTCATCTTAGAGTTCTTCATCTTTGATTTTGTCAGACAAGTTTGGAAACAAGTGGCTGATAGCAATACTGAATGGTTACTTAATATGTACATAGCATTTATATATGTTGGAGGTGAGCAGCAATGCTCCTTGAGAGTAGAGACCATAGCTTTCTCTCTGTATCCTTGGCAACTAGCCCAGGGAAGAACACACAGATGACATGATAGAGGAGCTCAGTGCATGTTTATTGTGTGTATCTACAGCCATGTCTATATCCCATGAAGGAAAGGGCCATAAACACATATGCTAATGGTGACCGGATATTGACCAGGTGTGATCACTAGAGAATGGTGGGAGCCTATTAGAGAACTCATGCCCTATGTAAGGTCTAGTCCTTCACACCACATGGGAATACTCAGTGTTGTCAGATTATTGCATTTATCAGAAAATGCTGTAACTTCCAATTTGTATGTAAACTGTCCTGATTTTAAAATAGTATGTCAGATGAAGCAGATCTTTTGGGTAAATCTGGCTCATGGCCAACCAAATTATGACCCCCAACATTAGGCACTTGTTGGCACTTCTCTATTGCATTACAACTGTCTTGAAGGCCCGTGGAGGAAGGGGAACCACAGAGTAAGGCAGAGACAGAACAATGAGATGACAATTGAGGCAGGATTTCAAGAACGTTAGGTAATTGTCTGTTTCAGAGAATCCACAAAGGTCAAGGAAATGAGAATAAGAAAAGGCCATTTGATTAGAGCAAATTATTTGGTACAACACTATATTCACAGAGTGTGTGCTCTTAAAAAAATTTCTGGTCAGATAACATGAGTATGAGTAATACTCAAACACTCAAACAAAATAAAATAGATATCTTCACTCTAAACCTTTTGTCTTTAATATTCTAATATGCAATGTAAATCTTCAAAAGGAGAATATTTACTAAGTTTTTCAAACTTACTTGATCAAGGAGTTTTTATTTCATGCAGTCACTCACGATCTCCTAATTTGAGGAAAACCTTTTGGGAAAGCTGGATAAGGAGCTGAATGAGACATTGGGAATCTCTGAAGGCCTGATGTGGAAACTGGAATGCATAACATAATGAGTAAGAGCATCTGAGTCAATGAAGGAGCTTGGCAAGAAGAAACTAGGTCTACTCATTAGTAACTAAGAACTGTAAGCATATTAATCTTGTAAAGTAAAACCTTTTTAGCATCATTTCTCTGCTAAAAACAAACAAGTAAACAAACAAACGAAAGTGATGAGTTTCTACCTCTGATGGCTTAAAGCTCTTTGTTTGACATTCAAGAATCTCCTTTATCAGACCAACTGGCCTTTCTAATTTCTCCTCTGCTCTAAATGCCCTGCTCTGCTTACTGTCTTAGTACACATACATTTTCTTCCACCCTTGCTTACCATGAGAGTTGCCTCCCCAAGCTGCTCCAGTTAGAGTTGTGCCTATTTTCCAAGGCACAGCTCAAATCTGTTTTACCTCTGAAGCCTTCTTTAGCCATCAGATCTCACTGTGGGTCCTTTCCCTGAACTTCAGAGCATTTACTTCTGAAGGATTTGTTTGAGACTTAGTGTGTTGGAGATTGCCTGTGTGATTTGGAGTTGAGAGGAGAAAAGCATGTTTTGAGCTCTGCAGCTCAAATAAGGTTAGGATGATATTATCCAGTGGCACAAGAGAGTAAGGGTATAACCCCATCACAATAAATTTCGTAGACTAAGCTCTGTTGTTACACAATCATCTGCTGTTCCCTGAGGATAGCGGAGTCCATTCTTTTCTTGCCTAGTAGTAATGGGCCCCATTCCTAGATACCAGGCTGAGCACTTTACATTGTTGTCTTGGTGAAACTCACAACATCCATAAGATGGGACCTTAGTATCCCCATTTTACAGAAGAGGAAACTGTCTCTAAACATTTAAGTCAGCTTGCTCATGCTCATGTCCAGCTCTCTAGCTGGTCAAGGTAGAATCAGGAGTACAACCCCATATACCTGATGCTAAAGCCGAGCTCTTTCTGTTCTAGCACACCACCTTCATGGCTGTACTGGCCACCAGAAATTTAATTGACAGAGAATTAAAGCCAAAGAATTCACACTTTGCCTTCAAGTGACAAGTATATACCAGTAGTCAGAGGAAAGCAGAATAGAAATGTAGTCAGGATCCGCAGTTTGAATAATTGGGGTGTTTTAGGTACATTCTAAAATCCTAAGGACCTAGCACAGCTTAACAATGATCCTCTTGAGGGCCAGTGCGTCCTGGTTAAGGTGAGATTTGGAGTGTGTAGCATCATGGGGGCACACACATGGCCTGGAGGGCATTGGAGGATCTTCTCTTCCCTGGACACTCATTGAAGTCACAGGACAGGGCGACTTCCGTTTCCACTCCACTATGAGCTCTTTTGTGTATCACTGGACTGTGAACTCTTTGAGGGGAGAAGCTATCTTATTAACCCAGGTCTGATACATATCTGTTATATAAACACATAATGATTATTTATTGATTTGATGCATAAATAATAAGACAACCATGACAAGGTGCTCAAGGTGGCATGATAAAAACAACAACACAATATAGTCTACCTTTATTCCACCATCAGAAAGTTGGATTAACTCCCATGTTATGTTTCTTCCTGTTGCTTATATACTACCTAGAAGTCTCTGGCTTCCCAGAGACCTTAACAAAACCCCAAACCTCCCTGTAATAATGTTAAACCTCATCATTTTCAGGCCTCATCTTCTAAGTTAGATTGTGAAATCTTGTAGTATATGAGGTCTGTGTTACTCTTTGCCCAGGCCCTACATCTTTCAATGCTATGCCTCACATAGAGCAGGACCTATATAAGTGCATGTTGAACAATTGCTTTGGCGTGGGTTGGAATTATGGTTGGGAACCCTGTCCTAATAGTTCAATCTCCTTGAGATAATTCTTGGTAAATTCAGGTTATAAAGGGAGAGGAAATCAGGATAGTGGCAGAGACAGAACAGGAAGAATGGGCATGATCTGTCAACTCACTGGATGTGGAAAATGAGGAAGTTTGAAAGAGGAAAAAGGATTCAAAGATTTTGATCCAAGCTGATGGACTGAAGGATTGTGACCAAGAGAGAAATATAGAATTGCTCCTTCCCCATGACCCTCTCATTCTTACTTCTGTTTGATTCCTCATGAATGTCAGGTTGCAATATTTCTTGGAGGCAGACAGACCTGAGACAGTCACTTAGGAGAGTCCAAAAGGACAAAAAGGAAAGGTCTGGCATCGTCCCTCTGCAGAAGAGCTTTGCTTTGCTGAGGAGGAGAAGAAATTTGAGCTGAATATATTTTTGGTTGGTACAACTTGTAAGCGCTCTGTTTGATAGCAGAGTTGTTTGAATGGCCTATTTCATAACTACACATAGCTTTCCCAAATAAATGGTGTCTGTAGAATGTTCAGGTTAATACATGAGTCCAGTGCTCAAAAGTGTTTGTGCTTAGAGCGACTGAACCTTCTTTCTTAATAAGTCATCTTGGCATTTTGTCAACAAGTTAATTTGCTTTTCTAAGAAACTAGATTAATACTTCCTGTACTTTGTGCTATTCACAGATCTACAATGCAGTGAGAAGGGGAGAAGAAACAGAAGATACAATTGGATCTCTTCTCCATTTCTTCACAAAGCTCCCAGCCTCTGAGACAGCCTATGAAAGGATTAATGTTGGTCCCTGCTTAAAGCAATGTGTCCGAGACACCGTATGTGAGTACCGTGCCACCCTCCAACGGACCTCCATATCTCAGTACATCACGGGTTCTCTCCTAGAAGCAACTACATCTTTAGGAGCAAGAAGTGGGCTTCTCAGTACTTTTGGAGGATCCACCGGACGAATGATGCTGAAAGGTATGTCTGAACTTTCACTTTTAACTTCTCATCTTTGAGTGCAAAAAAGAATCTAAGTTAACATTTATATATCTCCTGATCAGTTCACTTTAAACAACTTTACATAAAGGTAACTGCTTTAAGAGAATATAAAAAGTCATTCTTTTATCAAAATCAGTTGAAGTGTAAACATTCCAAATAATGAGCCTTAAGATTTTGATTTTTTTCAAAAGAATAAATGGTTAAAAAGCTATCTTTAATTTTTTTCAATTATTCAAACAGGTGATTTCTCCTAGTGCTACTCCATGACAGATGTCAATTACTGTGATAAGATGCTCATAAACAAGTGTGGTCACGGTGAAAATAGTGGTTGAGAACAGGAGGAAATATGCAATAGGAGGGACAAAAGTAGATTTACAGCTATGAGTACACAAAACACAGCGTTTATTCTTGTATTATTACTTATTAATTATGGTATTATTGTCCATATGAATAACTGTAAACCTACGTTTGCCTCACCCTGTAGTTTTCCCTACACAGAATCAGTAGGTTCGTGTTGACCGGAAAAGCTAAAGGCCATCTTCCAATGACTTCCATCTTAAAAGATGAGATAGTTAGGCATTCTCCTGAAAAACGAAAGCCATTGGAAGATCGGGTCCATCCACATCAGAACTTCTCAGCTGCTTCCCACGAGCAGCAGGCAGGCAGGTCAGAAATGTCAGAGCACTGCACAGCTGTCACAACCTGCTTGGCAGCCTTCCCTGGCAGGAAGCTGCCAACCAGACAGGGACCACATTGAGCAGCATTCCACTGACTGGGGCTGCCAGGAGCTTGATCTGACATCCGGCCATTTCTCTTCAGGAGAGCAACTCTTGTCCCTCCACAGCAATTCCCAGACCTGTGATTAGCAGGCCAGTGACCTTTCTCCAGCCTCCCTCACACCACCCTACACATATGCACACCCGGGCAGGCTAAGGAGGGGTATACAACTCCCTGTGTACCATGTGGGTGCCATGCTGATTTGTTTTCTGGAGTTACCTTAATTTTTGTGGATTGGTTATAAATGATGAATGAACAAAACAAAAGGTGTAGAAACACTGATTCATGAGACTAAAGGGACAAAACTTGATTTCATATATTTTTTTGAGCACCTACTAGGTGCTGGGTACTGGGTGCTGGGTGCTGGGTTCTGGGTAGGGAACAAAACATAGTTCCTACCCTCGTGGAGCTTACAGTCCCCAGGTGGTAAGCAGTACCCCGTGCACAGGATGCAAGATTTCTCCACTTTGATGTGGCTCCTGGTGACCGCCAGGCTTACATTCTCCATCAGTACTCTTCCTGGGAAGTTGGACTGAGATTGGCATGCGGAGTTGGCGTTGCTTCAGTGCCCGTGATATGTGATGACCTTATCCTTGAGTTAATCAACTGTGTTTATCAGATGCCCACTCTGTGCCCAGCAGTATGTAGTTGTTGGGGGAAATCCTAAGGAAGTTCAAGTCAGTTTACTTGCCTTTAAGTTGTTTATAATCCTAATGAGGAGGCCAGTTTTGCATGCATGAGACTGCAGAGTTGAGTGCCAGATAAATGTGGAAGTGGCTCTAAATGTTCAGAGTTTAGAGAGGGAGTTAATATTCTGTGATAAATGGCTTGGCCCGAAACGTGAGGCCTCAAACAAACAAATGAGAGACAACAAAAGCCACTTTCTTTCGTGTCCATTAATTGCAAAGGGATACATCTCCAAGACCAAGGCAAGCTGCCTCGTCTTACACAGGCCTTTGGGGAGGAAAAAAAGGAGGCTGCTGGTTAATGTGGCTATTGCCCTGATAGTAACTTGATCTCAATTGCTATTTGCATTTCCCTGTTCAGATCAGAACTTCATAGACCAACAGTCCCAGCTCTGGAACTCTTTGGACCCTCAGCTAATGTATTATCTCCAAACTGGTGTTTTATGCAAGGGTTGCGAGTTTCCGTTTTGCAGTTCTATAATGATTTCTGATATCCCTCTGTAAGTAGCTTCTACTGAATAATACAATTAGCTGGTTAGCCTCTGCTCCAGGCATATTTCTGCAGCTCTGGCTTGTTCTCTTGGAAACCTTTTTTAACTTCAGTGCCCTCGCCATGAGGTTTTCAAAGTCTGTCATAAGCCATAGTGAAACATATGTTTCTTCAACATGCAGTGGAAGAAAATGCATCCGAAATTATATGGGTGGTTGAAGTCATGGAGCGTTTGTAGAATCTATAGGTTTAGCATATTCACTAGTTGGGTCTTGAACTCTGGCAGGGGATCTGGACGACATGCTGGCTGCTATGACTTGATTGTCTGCTGCTTTTATTGTTCACTGTGTGACCTGTGGCATTGAGTTGGCCAACAGCTTTCAGCTATGTATCGCTAATGAAATCTATGGGAAGTGTATAACACACACTCAACCCCCAGTTTATAAATGGCTTAAATACCAGCAGTTCAATTCTCAGGAGCTGTGTGGAACCTAGAACACTTTCCCAGAGAACAGTATTAAATATTGTGATTTGGTTCACAGACTCTAGTTCTCAAACACCTCTTTAACATGTAACACAGTTGAAATCTACTCACTTCCCGTGGGATAAAGAGAAAAATACAATTTTTAGAATACTGAGAATCAGCCTCTAAGAAAAAAGCAATAAGTGAGTTAAAAGACATTTCTTGTTGAACAGAAATAATTTTAACTAAGATGAGTAGAAAGTTAAATTCAAACTTTTATGGAGATTTTGAAAAGAACTTGGGCCATTTCAGAGATTTTAGATGTTGGCAGCTGTAGTTCTTTTGTATGGTTAATTACACACAGAAACTCATACCTCTATGAAAGAACCAGGAAATTATCCCAGTCACCTTTTAAAAAAATTTTTCGTTGTCATTTTCTTTTTTTAAATAAGAGGTTTATAAATGGAATGAAGAAGGGAAGAGAGGGGGCAGGGCGGGGTTTAAAATTTTTTCCCAGAAGGAAAGAGTAAGGAAAATGGTGAAAAAGAATGACCTCTTTTATGAGAGAGATCATGTTTGATTAATTAGATGGAGTTTGGGAAGGTAGAGAAAAAGAAGAGGAAAAGACAAATACTTGATGATTCCATTTCTATGAGGTACTCAGAATAGTCAAAATCATAGAGACAAAATAAAAAAGGTGGTTGACATGGGCTGGTGGGGGAGGGCAATGAGGAGTTAGTATTTAATGAGTACAGAGTTTCCATTTTCAAGATGAAAAGAGTTCTGGAGATGAATGGTGGTAATGGTTGCACAACAGTACGAATGTACTTAATACCACTGAACTGTACACTTAAGAATGGTTAAGATGCTAAATTTTATGTTATATGTACTTTAGCACACAAAAAAAAATCTAAAATTTTAAAAAGGAGGAGGAACATGTTACATAGGTGTTTGGTCTCAGGTCTATAAAGATATTAGGAAGAATCGAGGTTGTGAAAAAGAAATATGAAGAAATATCTTCTCATGTAACCTCCAGATGGCTCAAGTCAATGTGTCTTCTGCAAGTGAGTATGATTACAGATGAGGGTTGGAGTAGCCTACAGTAGGTGAGAATAGGAGAAGGAAATGTCTAACCAGTTGTTCATTATTCACAAGTCAAGAATTGGTAACTCAGGGATTGATTGGCCAGAGTTCTACAGCCTTGCAGCTTGACTGCAATTGACAGGATTCTTCTGTTGACTCTTTAACATCTCCATAAGCTTGCACACCTCCAGTGGTACCGGTGGCACTAGAAAGACAGCCAATAATCAGTAGACAGCATTCCTGGTTTTATGCCATTAGGGCCACCAAGGATGGTCTGTCTACTAAGTTCAAAGTTTGCCAAATAATGAGAAAGGTTTTCTGATATGAAGCATTGATCAGCAAGGGTGTGTCCCTGATTACATGGATGTGCTTTCTCAAAATGGAAAATGGAGAGCTCACATCATTCTGGAAGGGACCTTCCACTAGTTTAATACAATTAAGGTCTTTCTACTTTCTGTCTAGGTCCCCTTCTCCCCATTAACCAATGCTAGACTCTCAGGACCAACTCTGTTTAGCAGTGGCAGTCAAAAGAATTACTGACGTCAATAGTCAGGAAGAGGTTTTCTAAATCTATCATCTGCCTTTGTTTCTTTTTTCTTTTTCCAATGTAATACCTACTGAAAATTACAAAAACAAGATAAATTCAAAAGGGAGATAAAAGAGTGAGATAATTGATAGTAATGTAAAGCACTTAATAGCAAAATTATAAAAATTAGTAGTAATAAGGAAGAGAATTTTCAATATAAGGTAGCTAAGTGTTTTCAAATGTGTATGTTATACTAATCAATATAATAAATATAGTACATTCAACTCAGTTTTTTCTTCTCAAATTGTTGCTAAGTAAGTTTATGAATTAAAAGGTCAAATATTTATGTATAACCAGGACAGAGCTTAGTTATCTCTATTTAAATTATGTAGCAGAAAAGAAAATGCCACTGTTCATTTTTAAGCAGTTTGAGTGCATATATGTGTAAACATAGAATAGCTATATTAAAATTATTGGCCATATATAGACTGTAAGTAGAATATCAATATGAAAACAAAAGTAACCTACATATTTAATATTCTAATTTGAAAATAGGGAGTATTTTGTTTCTTATAGAAAGATCTGCCCTGGCCAATGTGGCTCAATTGGTTGGAGCACTGTCCTGCACACCAAGAGGTGATTTCCGGTCAGGGCACAGGCCTAGGTTGCAGGTTTGATTCCCAGTCAGGGGGCGGGTAAGGAGGGCAGCCAATCAATGTTTCTCTTTCACATCCATCTTTCTCTTTCTCTCTGTCTCTCCCCCCTTACTCTCTCTAAAATCAATTTAAAGATGAAAAAAAGAAAAAGAAAAGATTTTTCTGAAAATGTTTAACTTATTTTATTTGTGTCTTTTTCTAAAGTTAATACCTCTAAGTATAAAAACAATGTCGTAATAGGAATATACACACACATTTGAACTATGTGACTATACCTCATAAATAATTTCATTTATAA